GGGATGCCCCAGAGGGTTTTATCATTTTCGACTCTTTAATCTGACAGCATGGTTGCTCTTTATCAATTATATCTTCTTTATCAGATGTCACATACTGGATAATTTGATTTGATCCATCTGGTACTGAATTTGATGTTTCTTTCCTTATATCCGGAGGTAACCCTGTCAATTGTTCTGGCCACTGATCTTGTAGTCCCTTATAAGATTGCTCCATTGTTTTCATGATGACAGTAAAGTAATATGAATGAATGACCTTGGTTTTACTGTTACAAAACCTTTCATTAATTATTAACATGTTTTTATATTTAATGTATATAACAGTAAATAAAAAAATGTAATGTAAATGCGAAAATGCATAAATTCCAAAAATAAAAATGCAAACTGTGCAATTCAAAGGCAAACATAAAAGTATGAATGCAAAAATGGAAATGCAAAGATGTAAAAAGTAAAAATAAGAATGTAAATGTATGTATGAAAAGGTGTTACTCAAGAGTGATCATTTTAGAACAGATTTCATTGAACACAAAAGCTTCAGTACATCGAACAAAACTTTTACATGTAGGGGACAACTTTTAATCCTAACTTCAACAAAACTTTACATATAGGGAATAACTTTCCCATTTTCTTCTCTAAAACCAAATTAGTTTATCAACTTATGGGCCATATTGCTTGTCTGGACTGCAGCTTCTTCCATGACATTCTGGGGTTCTTTCATCTCCTATGTCAATTCTTGGAGTTGATCATTTTCCTTTGTAAGAGAACATTTGTGTTCAAAAAGTTTTTGAACAAGATCTTCATATATGTTGTAGCTCTTTTTCAGCTTGGTGACCCCTGTTATCCATTCTTCTGGGGTACTTCCTAGGCCAGCATTTTGAAAGACTTGACTGACCTTCTGGAAGTCTTCACGTATGGTTTCCATTTTGGTGCTCAATTTATCGTTTTCAATCTTCAAATGACGTATTTGAGCTTCAAACCTCAGCAAATCTTCTTCTCTCTGGGCGCCCCTACTGATATTCTTACCTTTGGAGACTTTTGGTATTAATCTAGCAAGACCCTTGGTTACCAAACTAGGTCGATCATTTACCATAAATTGTAAGGTTCCATGATCCAAAAGACTTTGGACTTGACGTTTGAAGGCAAGACAATTCTCGATGGTATGTCCTTGAGCTCCGGCATGATATTCACAGTGAACGTTGATGTCATACCAATTTGGATACGGAGGTGGGAACGGTTTATATAATATGGATCCACTTCTCGTGCTTCAAGTAGCTTTTCATATAACTCTTTATATGATATAGGTATAGCATCAATATGAGAACCGCCTTTTGTCTTGGATTGAACCTGAGTTTTAGATATCGGGAGCATACTAAACTTCGATGATTTCTGATCACATGATTTCTTCTCATCTCTGAGAGCTTTTACAGTGGTCACCATTTCTTTAGTATTTCCAGACGATTTGTGAATACGAATGATGACTGTCTGTAATTTCTCAAGTTGGTTAGGATCAGAATTCCCTTGCATATCTGAAATTGCAGGATTATCTTTATTAAGCTTTCTCTCTTTCTGTGCAGGAATCTCTTCTCTTTTGGTCAAAACAGATATTCTTTCCATCATCTTGGACATCTGCTCTCTTATTTCTCGTATCTCCTTTTGATCTTTAATGGGCATACAATCTTTGGGTGTATAACTCTTCTCTATCTTCAGAGTTCCCTCAGGATGTCTTTTCTTGGCCGTGTCATATTTTGTTCGATCATAAAACTTTTTGTCCATTTATGATTTCTTTCTAATTTGATGAACAGTCTTTTCAGTTAACACCTTTTGGTCATGATCATGCAATGCAAACAAAAGAAAATAATTTAAACAAATTAGAGCAAAAATATCATACATGGGAAATAAGAAGAAAAAAATAAAATGGTTAATACCAACTAAATTGAAATAAAAATTTATTTATCATGGTATATAATAAATCCTAACCTCATGCTTTCTAGTTCCATGCTTTGTTTGGAAAAATTAACCTAATCGCATGATTTCTAGTTTGCAGGCATTTATTCAGAAAATAATAAATTAAAAAATTAAAAGCTAAAGCTTATTTCTCCTTAGTGTATACCTAATGACAAAATTTCGGCATGTTTCAGATTGGGAGAGTTTCTAGGGTTTATTATATGCAGATTTTCAGTTCTAGGAGTAAAGGTACTCGAATTGTCCTTGTTAGTGCCCCCTTGGGTTGCTAACCCTCAATCCTAGTCCATCACAGACTAAAGTGGATCGAGTTCAATTCGAGGGGTTACATTTCTCTATGCCTGACACGAAGAATAAATTCTTACGAAGACATAGAGCATATGAACCCCGAAAGTTACTTGCTAGGTCTTGACACGGAGAATAAATTCTCACGAAGACGTCGCTTTCACTCCCACTTAAAAGGGACAACTCAATTATAGAGCTTTATGTAATGCAATGCAAGTGTTGTGTGTGAGGAGAAATGTTCAAACCTTTGACAGAAAAATAAATACTGAAATAAAATACTTGCAAATAAAATAAAACATATAATATTATATAAAAAAAAAATTTGAAAAGAAAGAATTAAAAATTAAATATATGAACTTTTAATTTTTAATTAATAGAGACAATTTATAATTGATTTTTAAAAGTTTGACCGTTCCCCAGCGGAGTCGCCAAGCTGTCGTAACCGGTTTTCGTCCGGGCACGAAATATTATAATTTTGGCGGGAAATTGATGTGAATAAATGGTTTTGAAAATATTTGGGAGTCGCCATCGGCCTTTGGGTCAGGTAGGTCGAATACCTAAAAATTATCTTTTAAAAAAAAGTTTTTAAGAAAACATTATTTAAAAGATGAACTGATCTGCGTTTTATAACCAAAAATTCGTTCTTTTTAATAATAAAAGGGATTCGTGGTCGGTTACGTTTAGGAAAGGATTAGCACCCCTACAACGCCCAAAATTGGTACTTTATTAACTATAAATTGTCTCTATTATTAGAAAAAAAAATCAAATATATTTAATTCATAATTCTATTATTTCAAATAATTTTAAGAAATATATTAATATACATAAATAATATTTACTTATTTAGAAATATCAGAAAATGGCTTCTAGGTGTTTTAAGACAGCTCTTTTCTTTAATATTTAAAAATAAATATCAAAAACCTTTTATTTTAATATAGTAAGATATTTATTTATTCAAAATATCAGAAAAGAGCTTCTAGGTACCTTAAGACAACTTTTTTCTTTGATATTAAAATAAATAAATATCAAAATATGATTATTTTCTTAAAAGTAATTTATAAAATTAAATTTACAAATAGAAAAATAGAATAAATAAATAAATATTATATATTTATAAGACTATATATTGACATAATTAATAAAAATAATATAATAATAGTAATGATATATGAACATAAATATATAAATGTAACATATGATTAAATAATGTTTAAAATACAATTAAAACATGGTATAAAAAAATAAAAAAATAATAAAGCTTGTAAATGAAAATATTAAATTTAGGGACTAAATTATAATCTAATAAAATTAAATACCTAATTCATAATTAATTATTTAAAATTATAGGGATTAAACATGCTATTTTCCTTATTTATTAATTTGGTGACTAATTTAAAACTATATAAAATTCGAATATCATATTAAAATAAATTAAAAATATATACACTCGGGATTAAAATATTATTTATTAAAATTAAAGGACTAAATATGATATTTATCTTAAATATATTATTAATACGGTAAATGGCTAAAATATAAATAAATAAAATGTAGAGACTGAATTAAAAGGATCAAAAATTTGATTCAGTGACTAAAAGGTAAAGATTACAAATTAAAGGGATGGCGGACGGGATTAATCTTTTTTTTAATTACGGACAGATCCTCCCCAAAACGGTGTCGTTTGGGGAGGGCTTTAAATACCCTATCGGCCGGCCATTATATGCCATCTTCCTCATTTCTTTCTTTTTTTTTCTTTCTGTGAGAGAGAAAACTCTCTCGGCTCTCTCCAAACTCTTCCCCGGAGAGAGAGCTGAGCACCGGCCGGCAACCATGATCCGCCGCAAGTTCCACCGCCGGCCACCGCCTCCGGTGGCCGGAAATTCCCAAATTTACCTAAAATATAGATCTAAAAGCTCTAAGACCGATTCCGGTCTTTATTTTCCCTAAAAACCCTTAGATTCCTGTAGATCTAATTTTTTTACCTTCGAAAAATGAAACTCCGGTGATGCTCGGTATTTCCGGCAATGAGTGAGGCTTCAAGGGTAAGTTTCTCTTCTTCTCTTCGTTTCTGTTTTAGTCTAGTTGTTGGTTGCTGTTCATATTTCTCTCTTTTTTTTTGTTCTCTCTTCGTCTGTTTTTCTGTTGTTCTCCGTTGCTCTCTGTGGCTGTCTGTTGCTCTCTGTCCTTCTGGTTTTTTTTTTCTTGCAGGTGGGGTGGCTTTTATAGCCACCACCGAGGCTCTCGTTGGACCGGTTCCAGAGATGAAGGCCCGGTGAGTCACCATAGCTATGGTGGTGACTCACCATAGGGCTCAACGTGGGTAGCTTCTCGACGTTCTGGAGTGTCGGCAGCATCTGTTGGACCACCTGGACTCATCGGAAGCGGCTGGAGGCATCTAGAAACGGCTGGCTGCTAGGGTTAGAAACCCTAGGGTTTCCCATCTGGAACCTTTTTGGGCCGTTGGATCTTGCCAGATCCAACGGCTGATGATGTTGACGGCGGCTGGGGGCTAGGGTTTGTAAACCCTAGCTGAAACCCTAAATCAGTTTAGGGTTTCAGTTTGGGGTATGGGTCGGTTCTGGTTGGCCATGGTATTTGGGCTTGTAAATGGGCTTCTAATTTTGTAATTATTTATTAAATAATAATAATATATAATATAATAATATAATAAATAATAATAATAATAATAATAATAATAATACTAATAATAATAATACTAATAATAATAATAATAATTTTAAATGAAAAAATGATGTCTACAAATTATATACAAGGAACTGTCGAGGATCTGGCCAAGCCGATCTACTGAATCGTTTAATGGCAACCAAACGATCCTCGTTGTCAAGCTTCCCTCGGTAAACGACATTGGGAGCTTTCTCTCCATGCTCCGATACAATGTTGTCCGTACTGAATCCGGTAATGGCGGCTCTTAATTGGTCCAAGCTGTATTCGATGAATCCAGGTAACGATTCCTTCCCATTCTCTAATGTAAGAAATCAAAGAAAAAGAAACTAAAGTTGGTATGAAAATTACTATAACTGTATTTTTTTCTAGAGAAAGCGACGGAAACTAGCGAAATAAACTAACCGAGATCGGAGGAGTCCTTGATGTTCGACTTGAGAATTGACGAGCCCCAGCAAAGTGATAGATTGGAGCAACGAGCTCCCATTGGCTTAACTTAAACTTAAATTTTAACTGACACAAAGAAACGGATGTTATTTTCCTATTCTTCTCTAGCTTTGAGGTTGGCAACGGAATTTGAGGGATGAAATACAAATGCTGCTGCGGCTGCTGCGGCTGCTGCGGCTGCTGCTACTGCTGCTGCTGCTGCTAAACTGAAGAGAGGGGGCGTTTGGGCAGAGAGAAAGTAAGAGAAGATGAGTAAAAAAAAAAGGTTAAAATACGCAAATAAATCCTCAGACTATAGAATTCCTTTTTGTTTAGCCTATCAACTGTGATCAATTACAAAATAATCTTAGAAAATAACAAATTCATAATAATAAATTTATCTCTCAATTTTATGTTTAATTTTATAAAATTATTACTTAAAATTAAAATATATTATCAATTTAATCTTCTTCTCCTCTATTTCTTTTATCGCTAACATTCTTACCTTTCCTTTCTTCCTCCGTTAACAAATGCCTCTCTCACAATGTTTCTAGTTTGAGACAAAAGCCACTGCACTGATTTTAGCTCCTTTCATGATTCATGTTCTTTTCTTGTCATAACTGATAATGGTGTGTTGATGGAAACAAATTTGATTCGTTGATACTGAATAATTTATTTTTTCCACTACGGATGGGGAATCACAATTAAAGAGAAAATGACGATTGACAGACATCTTTTTATTCTTCCTTTCGGTCTTGCTCGAGATATAAAATATAAATATCTTGACCATAGAGTAAGTGATACCAAACATATAATTACCACAACTTCCACGTAAACTATCACATATGACTATTAGCCATCAAATTTGAGTATCAAAATCACATTAAAGACCGATGAAAAGGGATTTTGGGTGACTATCTAGTCAGAATAATTAATGTTCTAAACGATTATGTTAGTGGAGTGTCAGCATTATCCAACAAGTTAACTATAAAAACATTACATTGTGTATTCTAAATAATCCTCAGGACATTTGTCAAAAAAAACCATTAACCATGGTTTTCAGAACCGGATCAGTTAGCGAACCGGCTATACTACCGGTTCACTGATTCAACCGATCGAACCAGTTCGATCGATCGGAAGAACCGGACGACGTCATAATTATTTAAAAAATTAAATAAAATACCAAAATATTTAATAAAAATAATTTTTTATATCACAAGTCATATTCAAAGCAAGTCATAACATATATAAGTTAAAAACCATAAAATCAAGTGAAACAAAATGATTCAAATTAACTACAACATAATAATTAAGGTAAAACATATTAAATAATAAATATAATTATATAACTATAATTAAAAAATAAATTTGGAGCTAAAAAAATCATAACAAAATGATATTGTTTGGTTTAATATTTTTTTAAAAACAATCTCACATGGCTAAGAAACATAGAAGAGCATCTCAAAAGTCTAAAGAGTAAAAATATGACAACAAAACAATCTCACATGGTTAAGAAACATAAAAGAGCATCCCAACTAACTTCTATAAATAATATAGATAATTTAACATTCAAAACCATGGAGCCTTTTGGTGAGCATTGAGTGAACAATTCTTTCACTTCAATCAATCTCGAATTTTAGGCTTCAATCGAGCTTCTAATTTTTTTTTTTGAGTTCAAGCCTTTTCGAGTTCAAGTTTCAACATTATATTTCGAGTTCGAGTTGAACTTGATAATTTTTAGCTCGTGAGTTTGAGTCGAGTTGAGCTTACTTTTAAAGTTTTCAAGTTCGAGTCGAGATCAGTAATACTCGAGTTCGCTTGGCTCGATTATATTTCGAGTTCGAGTTGAACTTGATAATTTTTAGCTCGTAAGTTTGAGTCGAGTTGAGCTTACTTTTAAAGTTTTCAAGTTCGAGTTGAGATCAGTAATACTCGAGTTCGCTTGGCTCGTTTAACAAACGACATCGTTTGATTTATTTTTTTTAAACAAAATTGACGGGTTTTTTAGTTTTTTCTCGGTTTTTAGTCGGTTCGGTTTGAACAGTTTAGTGGTTCCGGTCGGTTTACTAGTAGCGGTTCAACCAGTGTAGATTGAACCACACTAGATAGCGATTTCTAATTGAACCAGCTGATCGGTCCGATTTTCAAAACACTGCCATTAACAACAACGTCAACTATGTCACCAATGTAGGATATAATAAAGGTAAAATATAAATAAAATATGTAAAATATATAATATTTTTTTTCAAGGGAGAAAAATGATCCATCCCAAGTGTTCCAAAGCTAATTGCCATACTGCTGTGAAACCCACCTTGAATACCAAGTGGCCTAATAACTATTTTATAACATTTTATAGTTTAGAGACACAAACAAAAAGTGACCTATAATAAAGGTATTCTTTGCATGTTTTACCCAAACAAAAATTAGGATCCAAACAAACTGGTTAATTTTAATCCGAGATTAACTTAATTTGATTATAAAAGTTAATAATATAAACCCGTTCAGTCTAAATTTTAAAATAATTTGAAATTGGAATAAATCGAACGAATAACTTAACATTACTTGAATTCTCGACTTAAACTAAAGTAACATACTAAAAAAATCCTAATTAAATTATATAATTACAAAATAATATAAACTGAAAATAATTCGATTCAGTTCCGATCTGACTAGAGGGTTATTCTTCTTTCATATCCTTCTAAATTTTTCATTTTTATTCTAACCCCAGTCTTTACATAATCGCGTGCAGCCCACGAACCAATGAAACTGGAAATGATGTAATGGTCTCGGCTAAGGCGAGTCAAATTCAAAGATGAATATCGTGTAAGTCACTAAAATTTAATGTAATATTTTAGAAAGTGGTGATTTTGTTCGATTTGGCAACATCAAATATAAGAAGTAATTTCACATTTCATTTATTTTCTTAAAATTACATTTTAGGTGAAATATAAGGTAATTTTATGAAAATAATACTTAAACTGATTTTTCACTTAAATGAAACATTAATTTTAGAAATGATATTTTTTTCAGTCTTATAAGATAGAAGCATGTCTTGAGGATCGCATCTTATAAAAAACGTTCTTTATTAATAATATTTTTATTTTAAGAGATAAGATATGTCATGACACTGATTAATTATTTAAAGGTGTGGTTCCCTAATTGTACCAGACTAAGGCTCGTTTTAAATAGTTGAGCGACAAAAACAAAATCACGAGAATAAATATATGATAAATGTATAGTTTACTCTTTATTACAATGGTAAACTACATAAATAGTCATTAAAGTTTGAGTAAATTTTCGTTTTTTTCATTAAAGTTTCAAAAATAACGAATTAATCACTAATACTATCGATTTATAACAAATCAATCACTTATCATTAATAACTATTCACGTGGGTGACGGAATGTTTATGTAGTACGTTAAAGTAAACTGATTTGTTTAATACAACTCCACTACGTTGAACGAAAATTGACAACTTTTTGACTCATTCTCACTTTTTTTTATATATTTATCATTTCTCTCTCTTTCTGCTTCTTTCTCCTTACATAATTACATTAGAGATAGAGCAAAGCTTTCATAGTTTACCCTTTATTATAGCCCACTAAAAGACTCCACTCCACTCCACTCTACCCAACAACTACTTTTAAAAAACATTGTTTCAATGGAAATGAATGATTCAAAATCCATGGACGGATTCAGGTTTTGGCACTCTTCTCTAATGCCTATTGTTAGGTACTGGGTAAAGCAATGGCGTTAAAAACATGTTGTGAAAGTTTGGTGCAAACAGATTAGCTATATGCTTTTTGGGTAGCACTTTGCACTAAAGCAGTTGGGAAAAGAAAACAAAAAGAAAGAAAGTGCATGCAACTCCAACAAAATCTACTTTAAGAAAAAGGTTTTACATTGAAATGGCCAACAAAGGAGATTTCATGGCATGACAGAACCCCCAAGATTTTACCCAAAAGAAAAAGGGAAACAAACAGTAGCTTCGATGGTGAAATGAACCAAGAATGGCATGTAATGTAACAACTCACGTCTCTAATACGGAGAAAATAAAATACCAAGTTTCAGTTTATGTTTTACATACATACATACATACACTATAGGGTGTATTCCTTTCGATTTGATTTTTTAATAAAAGATTAATGGATCTGTACTGTGTATTTTCTTAAAAAATAAATCGAAATTAAATGACATAAAAATTTAATCTTTTTGTTCGATTTAATTTAATTTGATTTTGTAGTTTTTAATTGTTCATCATTTTTTTAACTTAACATCCAAAGGTATCAAATTTTAAACTTAAAGTGTGTACAAATAACAAATTCAAATTCAAATTCATAAAAAATAATATTATTAATTTTAAGATTTTATTTATTTAAATTTATCTCGTAATAAAATAATAAAGAATTTGATTTGGATCATTATTTTGTTTTTTTTAAATTTGGTTTGATTTTAAAACAATCAAGTTTCATATAAAAAAAAAAGAAACCGGACTGAATTGTAAAGTTAGACATTTGAATAGAATTGAATCAAAACCAAGCCTTAAAAATAAAAATCTGAACCAAATTGAATTGAATAAGTTTTTCATTTATTTATTTATTCGATTTCATTGCTCATTCCTAATACATTTTTAAGCACTAAGGATGATAAAAATAAAACTTGGTACCGTATGATGATTTTATACTTTCAAGTATCTAATTGTTTGAAGATGTTTAGTTATTTTGGGCCAATTTAAAAGAGAAAAAAAAGGCAATTGTGAAATGGAATGGGTTGGTGGCAATTGGCAAAGGCTATTATTCAATTGAATCATTGGTGCAATCCCGAAATGAAAGGCATCACATGTTGTGTTTCCTAATCTTGTCACTGTGTAGTACTCAAAAGCCCCTGCACGTGGCCTTCAAAGTGAATCTTCCATCTTTTTCTTGCTTTAATTTTTTTTAATAAATTTAAAGTGAATATAATATAATATCTATTCAAATATTCTCAACCTTTTGATATCCAAAACTCATAACTCTGCATATGGTACTCGAATTTATGAACTTGAGAGATAACAAATCTCTAGTCATTAAGGTAGCTTAGTTTGTGCTTTCTTGCTTTAATTCTCTGGATGCCAGTTGAAGCTGTCATCTTTGGTTATTGACTATCTGGTCCTATATAAATGGCTTCTGCTGTGTAATCTCTCCATCTAAGCACTTGTATATTCAAATAACTTGGGAGCAAAACAGATAGCAATATCAGAATTCCTTGATTATATACACACTTACACTGATTTCAATTTGTTCATACTACCATCAGACATTTGCTTCTTTTGTCGAAAGGGAATCAAAATACGACCCGAAGCTCTGAGGGGAACCTGTCCCTGGCTTTCACAAACAAGCCTTGTTCACTACTTATTTTTCATTGGTGATTGATAGCTATCTCACTGACCATTGCCTAACCAACAAACATAAATGTATATGATATATCTAATTATACCTTTACACTTAATTACAACATCGTTCGTTGTGCGAGATTCTTCTAGACCCTTCCGACAGGAGAAACGGGAGGATATGAGACATACCTTGCAGGGGCCTCTGCTTCGATTGGATTAGGTTCTCTTGTTCTGTCATTTATCATGGTTTCCCCTCAATGTTCTTTCTTAATACGAGGGAACTCATTCTGAAAGCTCACAGTGATTTCCGCTATCCCAAACAGCAATACAAATTGAAAATGCTTGCATAAGAGAAAGCGATGAATTGAACTTGACTGTATAGATACCATCACTGAAAGGAACCAAGCTGAAGAATGGTTTCTTGTCTTGTGCTCCACCCTGTTTGTTATAATTAAAGCAAAAAAAAGAAATCACTTGACATTTTCTATTATAATATGGTGGACATTCTAGATTGATTAGCAAAGATCCAGAATAATACCTGAAAGAAAAGTTCAAATTGATTAGAAGTTGAAGAACCTTTCAATGAACTAGGTCTCAGGTTGCACTGGCTCTTATTGGACAGAATCCTCAGTTTGCAACCCAAATCCCAACCACCACAATCACATGCTCCACCTAATTTCCATCGTTGGATCAGTGAAGAAGGTTCACCTTTATTTGGCAAGCTATGCACGCCACTTGGAAGTATGACTGTAGCACCAATGTCTTGAACACCCACAAAAGAACCCTTTTTCCTAGAATTGATTTCAAGTTTTACCTCCGGCAAACATGCTTTCAATTCTGCATCAGACATGCTGTGACGCTTATCAATCAAATACCCATCTCTGATTGAATTTCTGCCGTTCCTTTTTGGGATCTCGACAACGATAGCTGCCTGCTCATCATTTGGCTGGAAATCAGATGCTTCTGAATTTGTCTGCTGTCCTACATCCAAGGTAAGAAGAACAAATTCTCTAGTGCTAAATTGATCCACATGGTTTGGTCTGGGCAAATGAGAAAAGTCGGAACCAGAAACTTTCATCTGGGCAATAACTTTAGGGGCATAATCCTGACCTTTGCCTTTTCCTCCTTGATTTATCCACATACCATTCTTTTTCCTGACTTCTTGAACGGAAAAGAATGTGTAAATGCATTCATAACCACCCTTACCCGACGAACTTAACAGCTTTACTGTGGCTGCAAGTATATTACTCTCATTATCAACAGCAAATGTTAACAGAGGCAACCCATTCTTAACTTGAACTCTGAGAAGAGCTTGAGCTACTGAAGAACCATTCTTTTTGTTCGGTGCTGAATCAGTTACATTGATTGTGCAATGACTGATTGTATTTGATTTTGCTTTCACTGAGTGCACAGTCACAGATGAATGTCTTCTCCGTTCTGATGACTTACAGGCACCTTCTCTTATAATTGACTCCTGTAGTTGATTGGTAAAACTGCGGCAGTTAACTGCCTTTGGTTTCAGAAGTGGATCTAATAATCTTCTCAAAGGGCTGGACCTGGCTCTGCTTTTAGCATTGAGTGTATCACCGCAAGAAGTGTCAACATTAGAAGCAAGAAGATTCTCTGGCTTGGTTTTGGCAGAACTACATGTCGAACTCATCTGAGGTATAGAAGAATCCTCTTTGAGGCTGGAACTTTTGCCCGTTTTACCAATACTGAAGCTAAGACGACCGAAAGGAGAAGTGCTTCGATTTTTTTCAGATGCAACCTTGTGTACTTTTGGGTCTAGTCCTTTGCAAGCCTCATTTGCAGCAGAAGCTACGTTTGTTGCATTTAACTTTTTCTCCTCTAGGGTTCTCTTTCTGGAAGAACTAATTTCTACCTTTGCCGCAGGAAGTACAAATTGAAATCTCTCTGATCTAAAGCCATTACTATTTGCATCTAACAAGCCCATGGTTTTAATCTGTAAATGTTTGATGCCATCAAGTTCACCGGGCACTGGGCCTGAATGATAGAAATCTGAACTAAGCTCTGCATGGTGAGCCTCTTTAAATGTTTCTGTGAAGGTCCTCTGCTGCTTAGGTTCTGTTTCTTTTTTACTCGACTTAGTTGTTGAATCAGAAAGGTTTGCTGCTCCTGAATGATTTGTTTCGGGTAAATCTGTTCGCAAAAGCAGGACAACTGTGTTTCTTTTTCCAGTGACGTCTTGGTAAGCCCCTTTTGGAACAACTTCTTGAAACATCTCAGCTTTTTTCATAATTTCACCACGTTGGTTCTTCATTTTCACCTTCTCACATGATGCTGCATTTTCTTTTACCCCACTTGGCACAGTTCCACTTTCTGAATCAATCTTTGGGAGCATTTCTCTTCTCTTGAACTGTTCCAGCTTGATTTGTGGATTATTTTTGCAAAAGGATTTATCTTCTCTGATGAATTTTTCTAGAACAGTTAAGGTGCTTCTCCTGGGAGTCTTGAGATCTTGAAACTTTCCAATGTTTTCCCTAAAAGGTTTGACAGAAGGCAAATGGCCTTCTATGGGGACGGACATCAGATGAGGTTGCGGTACGGGGTGCTGTAACAGTTGACGAGTGGGAGAGAAACTGTGACCTGTGCTCGAATGTGCTGGTGATTCGTCTGCTGATAACGATGAAGATGTGTTGCTGCTGGAAAGTGAAGAAATACTACTATGTGAGATCTGTTCATAGCTACCCTGCCATTTTTCAAGACGCCCCCACTCAAGGACCCCAACATTTAAAACCTTTTCTTGGGGATTTTTGCTCCTCTCTCCAGATAACTTGGTAAATGTGACATGTACTTCACAAGCTCTTCTTCCTCCTTTGTCTTGATATCAGGATGTTGTTTCTTATTCTTCCATGAAGATTTAGATAAAAACTCTTTTCCACCTTTCGTATTTTCTTGATGAAGATCAGCATATGACAAATTAGACCTTTCAGGTTTAAACCTGCCTTGCATATTTTCCATCTGGCTTTGTTGGGGCAACATGGTCTTCACAGTTGTTCCAAAGGATTAACCTCTTGAATTCCGTTTGAGCTCTAAATGGCCTTCCATAGATTGTATAGGTTCTCCATATCCTTTTCAGCAGCACAGTTTTGACTTGATTCACATTCATTCATGCCACTCTGGAGATAAGAACAAACATTATATAACAAAATTGTAAAACCAGATCAAACTGAAAACAAAAACCAGTCTATCAATGCATAGTGCCATAAGGCCCTCAAATCAAATGAAAGAGGAAGGTTCAGTAACTAGAGCAACCAAGAGTGCATAAAATCCTAAAGCGACGAGCAATGATTCTCTTAACATTGATGAAGTTGTGGGCTTTCATTATAACCCACAAGCAGCAATCTTTATTGTATCAAGTATTTTCAGCTAGTTTTACCCTTTAATAGCTAAACATAGTTAAAAAAAGATCAAAACTCAAAGCTTAATCTCTTTTACAGTATAGTTCTAACATAAACATATACCATCCTAAAACATTAAAAGTATTCATACACTAATAGAAAGTAGAGCTGCAAATGCCTAACCTAAAAAACTGCAACCAACCAGTTCAGTCATAAAACTTATTTCACAAGCAATATCTCCTCAGTAAGCACAAGGGTTCCAACAAATTTTTTCCGAGTACCCCATAAAACAACCATAAATTGGCATGATTCCTATATAAACAATTAAATCAATGCACTTTTTTCCTTTTTCAATATTTTCCAGACTAAATATTAAAAAAACACAATTAACAGAACGCGAATCACTTAAAAACTAACAAATTTACTGCAAAATAGATATACAGTGAACAATTTCCGCTAAAAGGTTCCAAAATATTATCGAGAGTGAACGAAATTCAAAGTTTATCCAGTTCAAGGCTTACACACCGACACAAGGGGGTGAAGACAAATTTGAAATTGAAACCAGATGATCATGATGTGTGGTTTGAAAAGAATCGGGAGTGAGTGGTTCATAAGGACGAAAATAAACATAAAGAGATAGAGAGTAATTATTCAAATAAGATACAAACGAATAGTTACACCGATCAGCTTAAATTTAATGGAAACGACCAGATCGACCTCAGTTTAAAAACAACAGACGCAATAATTTTTTTTCAAACTTCAATGAGCTAAAAATCTCGTTTATTTCACCAAATTAATTAGACGCAATTTGTCCCCCCCCAAAGAAAAACAATAGTTAACTCGAATAAAAGATTCACTTCATTTCATCTTTTTTCTCTTTTAGGAATCCAAGTTCCAAACAGTGTCTAATGCTTATAATAATTATTCTTTTAAACCAAAAAAAAAAGGAAAGGAAAGAAATGTGTTTGTTAACTTCAACACACAGCATTATAAAATTTTCCCGGGAACCAACCAAAACATACCGGTCTGAGTACTTGAAACGCAGAACGAAACCACCGTCAGTAACGGCAAACGCGAACGCCTCTGAGAAGAAACGCCATGTTTCTGCCGGGCATTGGTCAGTGTAAAAAAGCGCTAAACCAAAGAAGATCAGAGCCCAAAACAATGATGAATCTCCTCGTAAAAAAAACTTTACCTTTTCCGAAACAAAAATTTTACTTAAAAAAATCCAAAGCTCAACGTCGCAGCCGAAGAGTGTTTTATTATTTACTTGGGCTTTTAATGGCTCAGAGAAAAAGACGGTCAAACTAGGGGGAGAAAAGGAACTGAGATAGTTTGTTGGGATTGTTTAATGTTAAAGAAAAAAGAGTTTCCGATCGGACGGTTGAGAAGGGAAGATTTAAGAGAAGATGGTAAATGAAGTGGTCACATCGGATCAGAAAGATGCTAGACGGGGAAGTTTATGTTCGGATGGTCCCCACACTAAAAAGCTGATTAATGAAAGTGGTGCGTCTACTCTTTGATTGGATCTAACCGGTGTAATTGGATCCATTATTGATTGATGAACGGCCGGATCGAGTTTTTGGTGACCATAGATTCTTCCGGCTTCACCATTGTAACCTCTTTTCATTTTTACAACATAAAATTCAATTTAATTTTAAAAAATATTTTTATTTTAAATTATTTGAGTAAATTATTTTTTAAAATTTTAAGTTTAACTTAAGTTCAGATTTATAAAATTTAAATATTAAAAAATTTTAAATTAAAATATTAGTGTCTTTTAATTAAATAATTTAATTTTTTTATAATTTAATATTAATTTCTTTATTATTTTAATTCATCCTTCGTTTTATGTCTACTTTGATTAAATTTTAACTACAAACTACTCAACCACTTTAAAATATTTCTGTAACTTTAATTTCTCTTTATCCCATAGTGTTCTTAGCTTTTTGTTGGTGTGAAAGTTTGCGCGGTGTAGTGATGAGTTCGGTGGCTCCATGTTATTAGTTGTATGTGAAGGCGTTCTTTTTCCTTAAATAGGTTTAAAGAGATTTTTTAACGATATCATTATTTTTGTTGTGTTTTATATGTATTGTCGATTTAATAACATATACAATTCAACTCTTTCAAAAAATTTGCTCATTCAATTATAACTCTTTATGAATTCTTTATTCCCACAAATTTATTGATTCCTTTAATACTCTTATCAATATTTTATCTTTAATTTTTTTTAAAAAAAATAACATCATAAATATATTATATAAATTACGTTTTATCAAACTATAATCTTACAATCTAATAATTCTGTTTTCAAAATTAAAGTTACATTTTATTAACCAAACTTCCTCATAACATAAAAATGAGAACAATAAAACATTCCTAATTTACTGTTTTCCATTTTTTTTTGTTAAAATCCCTTCATAACTTTTTCGAATTTATTTTTTAAAACGTGAGATCAATAAAAAAAAAAAGGCGGGGGAGCTGCAGATTTAATGTTGATGGGTAATTATTAGTTATATTTGCTAATGATTAGAAGCTTTAATTTCAGAATCAGCTCCTACACAGCAATATCAAAAAGGATCAATTGACATCATAGTTTTTGTTTTTGTCTTTTGCTCCCTTTTATAATACTTATCTCATTCACCTCTTGACTCTTTGGATTCTGCTATCATTACCTCTTTTAACAAATGTAAGAAATTATTAAGGTTAGACCATATGAAATTAGATATGTTGAGCTAAGTGAGAGTTTTGACATCATTATCTAATGTTGCATGCATACGGACACTACAATTGCTATGGAAATGATATTATACATCAAAGTAATGGATGCAAACTCACTATACCATGAACAACTTTAGCACTAACATAAAAAAATACAACGCATAATTTACTTTACGGTGCAATTCAGTTAGGATCGTCTCAGTCGGATAGAATTTTTTATCCATCTGGACTTGATTCAAAAATTAAATTCTTTTATTTATATATATTTTTGGTTACTCTCCTGGTTCTATGGTTTCGTCTTGATTAATCCGGATCGACCCGTGTCGCATATCTGGTTTTTGTGGGTGAGTGTCTCAACGGAGATTTTTTACATACACAAAGCCCTGAAATCGAGACTTACTTAAACGATATCGAACTGCTTATCACTTGAACCAACCCTTTTCATATTTGATTCAATCTAATATGATAGTGATCTAAGTCTCTAAGATATGATAATGGAAACGAATTCTATGAAACATTAATTACAGTAACTAAACTTTGTGCATCCTAAAGTTCCTTAACGGTGGCGCACATGTGGGATCTTTAATTGCCCACTCAGTGCATAAACATTAAACAAAACCTATATATATATATATACATATATATATAACATCCCTTTCTTTGTAAAGGATGAAATTATTCCCACATGATCCTGAATTTCATAGTCTTGGGAGACTATGATAGCAATTGTTGGTCTTCAAAAATAATGAACGGTGGTTTACTTTTTGAAATAAGTAGGTAAAATTGTGAACAATGGTTGGGTCGAACGTTGTTGAATGATTTTCTTTTCTGAAGTAAATTGGAAATATGAAGTGAGCAACTTAGTCATTGTTGTATTTTTAAAATAAATGGCCTAATTCGATATATGTATTTTAATAAATTGTAATTGAATTAACGAGAGTTACGTTAAATAATTTTTTAATAATAAATCTATAATGTTAATAACCGGGAATAGAGTCTGGATTGAATTGTGAGGGACCATGTTATTTAATTTTAAAATAAATAGGGCCCTAAAAAATAAATAAATAAAATAAATTTGGAGTCAATGCATAATTTTATTAATTTTAAAATTGATAGTGTCATAAAAACAATTATATCAAAAAAAATTGGGAGAGACAATGACTTGATTATAATAATTTCAAACCTATCAATGGCTTAAAAAATAATTAAATCATCAAAATCTGAAGGCATTGCCTCTCTCACCTGTAACGTAGGATCGTCCCTATTAATAACTAGAACGTAATTTTAACATTAGTGATTCAGTCTATAAAAAGGATTTCTTGTAGTTTTTAGGTTAAATAAGTTTACGAGAAGTTTATCAAATATTAACCATGTATGTTAAGGTTTTTTTAGGTATAAATTAGAAGATTGAGATTTCTTAGATATAAATTAAAATTCGTTTTATAAGAAAATAAATATTTTATTCTTGTAGACACCGTATTTCGCCCTTATTATATAATGCATATATTATATAATATGTATATATTATTTACATTTTTTTTCTTCCTTCTTTTTACAGGCCTAAGACATAGGGCCCAGAATCATTACACCTAGAGCATTTACAATACCAAGTGGCCCAGTAAATGAACTTGTGAACCCATCCAGCGCCGTTTTCCTCTTCATCAAGGACTCCCCACGGTCGCACGCTTCTCCTCCGCTTTTCACGCAACACACCACCATTCTCGGATCCTCCGGCGCAAGGAAAGCAAACAAACAACCCAAATCAGTTTGAGTTCTATTAGGAGTCTAACTTGACTAAAAATAGGGATTGTTTCAAATTATATATATACACATATCAACCAAACAAAGGGGGGATACAGAGATTACAATAGAAAGATACGGGGGGGGGGGGTTATCCAGAGAAAAATTGTAACTGAGGCTCTCCCAATTTCGAGATAGTTATAAGGGAACTCTCCCTTCATTTTTGAACCAAGCAATATAACAGAGAGAAACCTTTAAAGGTCTCGTTTTCTTTTTTTTTTTTACTACCAATCTTCTTTTTTAAGTTCAAAATAAATAGAGTGAAGAGGAAAACACTTACCTTAGTGGTTCCATCGCCGGAGCTGATATCGTCGGAGAAAGAACCACCTTGCATGGTGGCCATCGAGTGGCCATGGTTCGCTGGTGAGCCATCTGCCGTGGTATGGTGAGCAAAAGGAAGAGAAGAGTGAATGGGTGTTAGGGATTTGGGCAGATTAAACAAGGGGAGAACTGAGAAGCCTTTTCTTTTAGCTTTTGCACGTGAAATTAAAAGGGAGGAGTTTGCTTTTTAAAATATTTGGTTTAATCATGTGTCAGGTCTCTATATTTACAATAATTTTGCTTTTGTCATTTTTTAAGATTTAATTACTCATTAATCCTCGTACCTTTGCCATTTATTCATAAATTGATCACTTAATCTTCTTTTTTTTTTTATTTTGATTTCGACTTACTGTTTCATTTTATTTTAATTTATTCATCATTTTTACCACATTATTTATTTGAAATCTGTTATTCTTATTTTATTTTGGTCTTTGAAATTTTTATTTTTTTATTTTTTTTCTAATGTTTTATTTATGCATTTTATTATATATGTTACTATTATTCTCTTTCTTTTTATTTATCTTTTATTATTTTTTTTATTTTTTATTTCCTTTATATTTATTTTATTTCTTTATTTTTTATTCTTGTTTTTATTTATTTATTGTATATATATATATATTATTTTCTTTATTTTATTTGTTTTTATTTTTTATGTTCTTTATCTTCGTTTTATTTATTTTGTTTACCCTTTTTATCTTTGTTTTTTTAATCTTTTTATTTTCTTTATTTCATTTGTTTTCCCTTAATTTTAGTTATTTTTGTTATTTTTTTATCTAACATTTTTCTTGGTTTTTTTTAAAGGTAAGTAATTCGAATTGAATATTTTAAATTTTAATTTTAATTTTCACAATTAAAGACAACCGACTAATTAATTGGTACCGAAAGGGCGGTTCAAGGGTGCTAATCCTTCCTTGACTGTAACCCGACTCCCGAACCTGATACATTTCTGGTTAAACGTGGATCAGATAAGATGATGTTCGATCTACCAAAATATCGTTTTAAAATGGTCGGTGGCGACTCTAACCCATTTCACTCATGTCGAAGCCCAATTTCGGGGTCCAACTGAAAGGCGGTTACGACAATTCTCATAAGTAGTGACCGATAAAATAGTAATTACATTCCTTAAGAGAGGGCACTATATAATCAAAGACCATCAAATCCTTAGCCTTAAGCATAAACACAAAACCTAGAGACAATTGCATAAATTAAATTCGTAAAAGTATTGAATCTATGGGTGAACATTTAACTATAGTCAATGTTGGATAAGGGGTGAGACGGTAGAAATCATCTCTTGAAAATTTTAAATTATTATATATTTAAAATATTTTTTTGTAATCCGTTTTTGTATCTTGAAATTTTATAAGTTCATCACTTCTTAAAGTCTTAAAAGTTTATCCCTTTAACATAAAATCACGTGTATGTCCGATCTTGACATAACCCTTAATGTTTCACAACCGAGATTGTGAGATTTAGTGACCAAACAAAGCAGTGTAAAGCCAACACAGACATAAAAAATTTGTTCAGCAGGGTCAAGCCCATTCGAAGTGAATGAAGGTCCATTTAAACCCTTATAAGAAAGAAAATCCTTTAAATCCAGGTCTCTAAAGAGCAGCCTGGATGGCCCTTGGGTTTACTACAATTTGCATGCCCCAAATTGCATACAATCTTTCTAGGGTGTGCAACTGGTCTAACAATTAATCCTTAAACTTCTGAACATTTTAATTTCATCCTTAAACTATAACACTCTTTCTAAATTGGTATCTAAACTTTTGAATATTCCAATTTCATACCTAAATTCATTCAAATATGTAATTAGTTTCAACCATAATTTAACCTAACTTTTGGTTTTTTTTTCAAACATATAATAATATAACTTGGTTTAACGATTTTATTAACAAAGGATGTGATTAATATACGTACATTTTGGGATGGAATTGTAATGTTCAAAATTTTGGGGACCAATTTAGAATGAAGGTCATTGTTTGGGGGATAAAATTGAAATTTTAGAAGTTGAGGACTAATCTATAATGGTAATCATTGTTTAGGGATGAAATTGAAATATTTAAAAGTTTAAGGACCAATTTAAAATAAGGTCATACTTTGAGGACTTGCGATACAATTAACTCAAATAGAAATCATGTTTAAATAAAGGTAGTTGCATAGCAATTATCGCCTCCTTAAAATCCCCCTATCTCACGTTCAGTACTACACATTACAACGTCTAATGTACTATCACTTCCTGTCTTTATAAACCAACCAAAAGGGGTAAACGGAACCGAAAGCCGAAGAAACGTCAATGGAAAACATGAATGATGACCATATGCATGGCATGATGAACAACAAATCCGACGGCGGCTTGACGACGGCGATGCACCCCCATAAGATGATGATGCACATGACCTTCTTCTGGGGCAGCGACGCCCAGATTCTCTTTTCGGGTTGGCCCGGAACAAGCACCGGCATGTACGTCTTGGCCCTCATAGTCGTCTTCGTCCTTGCTTTCACATCCGAGTTTGTCTCTAACTGTCGGTTGTTGAAACCCGGTTCCGATAACCACGTGACCGCCGGTCTGGTCCAGACTCTGTTGCACGCTTTACGGGTCGGGCTTGCGTATTTGGTGATGTTGGCTATCATGTCTTTCAACGGTGGCGTTTTCTTGGCCGCCGTGTCTGGCCATTTATTGGGGTTTTTGTTATTCGGCAGTCAGGTTTTCAATAAATCCTCCGCCGATGTTCCCGCCAAAACATCCGATCATCTTCCTCCTCCGATGAGTTGTTGAATTATTAGGGTTCTTGCTGTCGATGAGTTTGTTCCCAAAGTACCTGAAGTTTATGGTTGTAGATCTATGCTTTGCTTCAGACTTGTTTTTCATTTGACAAAAAGGGAAAAGATCCATAGATTGCTTTAAAAAAACAAGGATTGTTACTTTAGCCATTGAAGGATTACTTATTGCATTGATTCCATTCTTAAACGTGAGGCTGTGATTTCATGATGCCAACCAGGAACTTGCTTGTCAAGTCAATGTCGATTTAATGCATTGGTGTTTCACTCTCAAACTCAGGGCAAAAACCATTAAAAAATTAGTTGTCAATGTTAAATTATTTTTAAGGTTTAAATATATTTTAATTAAACAAAAAATAATTTTTTCTAAAGTAAATACAATTATACAATTATGTTATTTAAATTTAATATTTTTTAAAAATTAAATTATTATTTAGGATTGAGACAACTAACTGACTATCATCTTACGTTCTCTTTTCCAAACTCAATTCAAAGTAATGTTGTAAACATACATTTATTGAGTGATTAAAGATAAAACTTATACATATGTGTTGTCATCCAACCGGCTCGTGCACATCTTATATATATATTTTTTAGTTTTTGGCTCATTATTCTCATTTCATTCATTTTGGTCCTAGCTGATGTCTGCATGGGGAGACCATCGAGAAAATATGCCATGTAGGTAAAGACGTGTCTTACAAAACTCGCCTTATGAAAGGTGCTTCCCACGTGACGAATATTTGTCAAAAGGTGTCATTTTGGTCAATAATATTGTTCGGGATGACATTTTGATAAAAAAATAAAAAAAAAGATATTATTTCAATAATATTGTTGAGTGCCTAGTATATTACAATAGTTTTTTTCTTTTAAGAAAATCATAATTAAAAAATATGTTATATATACATTTTACCAAAATTACACACATATATAATTTTAATTATTACTATTAAAATTATTTTCAATAATTAACACAAAACAAATATCTATTTACACCAGTGGTTTCCATCTCTCTCTCTCTATATATCTAAGTGTAGACGTGTACTCTAAGGATTCAATAAACTGAATGGTCAGGAATACATTGAAACCAAGAAGTTTGATATTTCTTATTTGCAAAATGCAGTGGGCACCACTATTAGTAGAAATCTTGTTTATTAGCTCATAAGTTTTCTATTTTGGTTTCTGTTTCTACTGTCCTCCACGTCGGAGTCAGTGCGGATAATGTTATCTTGTTTCTATGCACAAATGTAGCCACACATTCAGCTACATTCCAAGGTAATGAAATCATGCACTACTGTTATCTATTTGAACATATCAATAACGTTATAAGATCAAATTATTTTAAACTTAAAATAAAAATAAATAAATCTCAAATTTTATAATAGCAGAGGGACTAAAACCATGATTGAACAAAATATGCGGGGAAAGGCAAGGAGCATGCTGCATGCCGAACGGGGAAGTTGATGACAGGCCGGTGGTTTAATTTGTCAAAGTCATAATCAACTTTAATTAATTCTTTAATTATCTTTCAAAATTATAGTTGTCATTTTAATTCATGATAGTTGTATCGTGAATGTACGTGCTCTATTAATTGTGCGGTTAAAGGTTATAATTGAATTGGGGCCATTATCTACCATACTACCACGTCATATGTCGTTGGACCTTGTCATATTTATATAATTAAACATCAATATATGATTTATATATTATGGATGTTAATAATTTTTTTTATTTTTCAAAATTAATTATATATATATATATATATATATATATATATATATATATATATATATATATAACTTAAAAACATAATTTTAAGACATTAATAAATTCTCATTTGTGTTCGCCACTAGTACTAGTAACTATCTTCTTTGTTATTGTTGTTTTAATAAATTTATGTGAATATAGAGTAGTGTATGTTCGAAGACTTTTAATTATTTAACAAATGAATGCTCATATCAATGTATACGTAGTGCTCGAACTTGAAACCTTAAAATATAACAATAAATCTTTTAACCACTATAATCGCTTCGTTCGTGCTTAGATATATAATATATCTCTTGCAATTGAATAGAGTAAAGAAGTACAACTTATACATTTTCCCACATTTTTGTGATTTCATAATAATATTCATCATATTTTTTTTATTGATAATCGAGTCTTATAATTTTAGATTTGTTACAATAAGACCCTTATCTCATAATTAAATAGATAATCAAGATTTATAATTTCAGGCTTGTTACAATTAGGTCTTTAAAATTAGGTTGGTTAATATAATTTTAGCCTCTAGGACTAGAATCTTTTAATCAGGTCCTTAGTTCATAAAGTTGGTTAACAATTGGGCTTCATATTTTTAAATTTCTTCAATTTGGTCCTTATTTTGAAATGGGCTAATATATTTGTCTTTAATTCCTTAATTGCTTTCAATTTAATCTTTAATTCGAAATTGATTAACAAATTTGAATTTATTATTTTAATTTATTATAATTAGATATCAATTTGAGATTCTGAATCCCGATTTTCTAATTATTTGCAATTTTATGTTTAAGAATGTTTGTTATTTTATTTATATTCATCATTTTTTATATTTAATTCTTGGTGGGCAGCTAAACCCATCCTTTTAGTTTTATTAAAAAAACATAATACTTGTTCAAATTTTCTTAACTAATTGACAATGCATATACCCACAGATTTAATTGTTTGAATCCAAAATCTATAGAGAAAATAACATATGTTTACCACTAACGCTACTTCATGGGATCATAATATAAAGTTCAAGATAAAAAAACCAATCATTTACCATGTGTGTGTACATATATATATATATATATATATATATATATTGTTTTTTTAATATTAAATGTTTTTAATAGTTTATGAGAAACACATGAAAAAATCAAACTGACTTTTGCTACATGCATTTTCCCAGGGTAGAATATATGCATATTATAAAGGAAATTTTCTAACATTTTTTATAAAACTCAACGGTACTACTTGGAGAAGAAATTAAAATAAATTAAATTGTAGTACAAATCTAATAGTACAATACAAACTAATGTACTATACATTAATTACCCAAAAACCTAAAATCTGGGGTATTACTCGCCTCCTTAAATCAACCACTTCATCTCCTTTAAAATCAACACTAATTTCCATCCAAAAACACTACACCAATTTCCATATAATTTTTAGAGTCCTTGCACAATGAATCATGATCATGGCATGGAAGGCATGCCACCGACATACCCATCAAACAACGGAACCTCTGGGATGCATCCCCACAAAATGATGATGATGCACATGTCCTTCATTTGGGGGGGGAAATGCCGAGATCCTCTTCTCCCGCTGGCCCGGTCGTCACGGCGCCGGTATGTACGCTTTAGCCTTGATATTCATCTTCGTGCTCGCTTTTTTTGTCGAATTGCTCTCGCATTGTCGGCTGATCAAGCGGGATCGAGCAATACTGTCGGCTGGTGTTAAGCAGACGTTGCTGTATGCGATTAGGGTTGGTCTTGCTTATTTGGTAATGCTTGCTGTAATGTTTTTAATGGCGCAGTGTTTTTGATTGCGGTTGCCGGCATACGCTGGGATTTTTATTGTTTGGTAGTAGTGTTTTCAAGAAAGATAATGACATGTTTGATTGTAGAACATCTGATCTTCCTCCTATGAGCTGTTGATTATTTATGTATCACGTCTTCCTTGTTCTATAATATTTTAAGTATGGTTATGTTTAATGAATGCAAATGAACATAAAAATAACCACCTTATTGTTCATGCTTCTTCGAGCATGAATGCAAATGGCATATCAAAGGATAAAAGAACCATTTTTCAATTCTTTAAAAGCTTTTTGAATAAAAACATTTTTTTATTTATCTCGAATGAACAAAATGGTAATTCAAACAGACCTATCGATTAAAGCTTTCAGTGTAATCGAAAGCCAATCAACGTCACTTTCTAAAATATTCAAAAGTCGATCTATGTAATCAGTTTAATTAAGTTTATGTTTTAAATCTTAAAAATAAAACAAAAATCATTGTTTTCTTCTCTCTTCCACCATAAACCTACCATATAAACGACAAATATTATTCATAAGTGTAATACCACTATGCTCATGCATAATGGGTTCAATTCAAAACTGACTTTTTGTAGAATGTGTTGCAGATGATGCTAGTGTAACAAGGTATTCAACAACCAGTAGGGTTCCAAGGGTTTTGTGCAAATGCCCCATGTCTCTACCAAATGTACTGCAAAATGTGCAATAAGGGACAAAAACAGCTAATGTGAAAACAAAAATCTAATAGCAACAGAACTTGCAGTGACATAACAGCAGTTAAGGACATTGTAATTTGACCTGTCAAGCTGTTTTTGTTGAGACGAAATGTGTGCGGTTAAAGCGTTCGAGTAAAGATCCAAGTTCATAAAATTTCCGAGATCCTCTGGAATTAACCCAGATATGTTATTACTAGCAGCTCCATGTCATTAAAAATTGAATTAGTATCTTTCAATGAATGTAAAAAACCCATTAGATATACAACCTTCTTCAAGTTTAAGATGGATTACAAACAAAGCCCAGTGAGAAAAGCAAGGAAAATCTGCGCCTTCAAATTATTTCTACTTTTTTTTTTTACCTGGAACGCTGCAGGTTCATCCCAAGTTTAACTCTGACATCCCATGAGCATGTGTTTATAAGAGCCCAAAAGAAGAAAAAGAAAACACGTCACTTTATTTTATTTTTAAATTATCAAGTCAAAATTTTATTATTGAATTTAACCAAATCGAACAGACCGTAGACATAAGAGACAACCTGTATAGTTACCTATAATTTTACTTTAACGTACGTGAGCAAATGAGGATTATCTCAAGCCCATTTTAACATGAAGATGTCCCAAGTTAACAGCACAAAAAACCAATCAAGGCTTTCAGGAAATAGTTTATTTGGTAAACCACCTCTTAGATTCCTTTTAAATTTAAAATTGATTAAATTGGTCCCTTTTAAAAAGATGAATAATTCAATCCATGTCAATTTCGGAAAGGAGCACTTAAGAATAAGAAATCATAATATTAAGGGTAAATCAATTTCGTTTAACTTTTGTGCATTTTTTCTTATTAAATTAAA